ATAAAGCGAAATTGGACTTATAACCCATTTGGGAAAGCTTGTGCGTTAATTAAGCTGCATTGACCGAGCCTTTTTGGAGAAGCTACCTGAGATCCTATTCTTGGTTTTCCAAAATTTTATCAATCACGGTATCTCGGTTGATCTAGTGCCATAAACTGCTGTGTAAAAACTCTTCCAAACAGCCAAACGGGCACTTAATTAAGCTGAGCTTARTTTAGAATTTAAACTCTCAGCTCAAACATGAAACGAGTTGATCACCAATCCAATCCAAGCTTGGCAAACCTTGACTTAATAGTTTAATTCATGGTTTTTAAATTGTTGTTGACTCGTATGGTCGGATCATTTGGCTTAGAAATCGTTCAAACAATTGGTTCAGTTTCACCTTTAACTCGTTCTTTGGCAAAAAAACCATTAACTTGACCTAGACAACGATTTTAGCCTGATTTTATTTTAATTACTTTTATTTTTAAAACTAGAATGAATCGTTCATTCAAACTAAACTGTCGAACTGCTGACCAAAGATCGGTGGCCAAAAGGTTCCGGGACAATTTTTAAAACATTGGTTTAATTAGCTAATAATCAATCTCTTTCATATGTTTTAACCTATCAATTCCCACATGCTGCGACAATTAAATCAGGGTTAGTGGTGTGAGTGAGGATCTGAAAGGGAACCATGACCATGGAAGTGCACGACAATTGCAGCGCAAAAAGGTGCAGAAGATCAGGACTCTGCTGGGGAGGGGGTTGGCCAAAAATGTCTCTTTTCCAATGTACAACCAAAGTACTCCAACCTGTATAGTCAGATCATTTTTCCATATCGATTTGGAATTCTGAAGAGAATGGATAGACCCAATATAAATTTCTGATTTTCACTAAATATCATTATTCCACATTTTGTACATCAATACCTATCCGTGGACATCAATTCCGAATTGATTCCTGACCCCCGTCATCCTTCCTTCCTTTGAAATTTAGATCTACTCCTAGTCCCAACAATCATCTAACAAACCCACTGCAATCGTACATTAGAGACATCTTGTCGCGATCAGTCCGGCCGGTCAAATCCACCTCAAAACACCTATCATCCTGTAGCACTCATGATGAATATTGTCAACGAAGTCGGATACTGTGCAAACAATGTACCGAAAAACTGCCAGCCTGTTAAAAGCAAGGTGTCTACCTACAGAGATGAACATTAAGTACAATGTTGAGGAACAATAAGAAAGTACAATAAATGGCCATAATTATTTATTAACTAGGATAATCGGGTCTCATCTGATAAGCCTGGCATTCATAATTATTTATGTTAATAACAAATTAAAAATTCATTTTTGATGATGTAACTTTAACAAGAATGAATAATAAAATAGTATATTATTTATATATTAATAAATTAAGGACCTGTTCGTTTTTCAGTAAGTTATTTATTCGGGTAAATAAGGTAATGACCATTTTATCCATAAAAATCCATTATTATAAAGGACATTTTTGTTCTATTCAAGTATTGAAAACTTTCACCAAAGGTGGAAAAATAGTTATTTATCCATGTAGGAGATGGGATTAAGTGAAAACTTTCCTTGGTCCCACATAAATCTAGAAAAGGAACATGAGATTCTTAGTCAATGAGAATCAAAATCCCATTAACCAATTTTTCCCCTTTCAAAATGCAGAAAAAGAACGCCTCTAACTGTTTTCAACCAAAATTATCTATCAAATATACCCTTTTAAACATAAAATATAATAAAAATAACTAGAAAACCTTTATATTTTATTAACTCAATAATTGATTCAAAACAATGATAACCGATCCTAACCCAATTACTGGTCGAAACAAAATCACAGAACCAAAACTGATATGACCAGTTCGATCAGTTTAGTTTTATTGGGTAGAACTGACCCATTAACGCCAAGTGGCAGTTTCAACTAATGGGTCATTATTAGTGGATGTTTTTTTTATTTTCTTTATAGTGGAGAAAAATATTAAGAAGAAAAACAAACTAAAGAGAAACAACAAAACATTTATTTTTGGGTTCACAACCTTGATCTTATGCCCTTGTCGATTATACTTAAGACCAAACCAGACAGGAAAAAATTGAATTGATTAGGTGATCGATTCCATTTTACCCTATAATTATTATTTTGTCAAAAACTATTAATTTGGTCAACAAACCACTAAYTCAGACGGTTGCATCTTTTAAACTATCTAACTGTTTTGATTGTTTTTATTTTATTTTATTTTTTTGTCAGAATAAACCCTCTGTTCAGTTCGAACGATCAGATCATTCAACCCGAAAACTGGACTGGCCGATTTGGTTTTTAAAAACCTTGCTCAAAACAAAACATTTTACCTGGATCCTTGAAACATATTAAATAAATGTTTCCAGGGATAAATTCACGAGGCATCCACTCGCCCTTGGTCCCGGTCCCATATGTAATAAAGTGATCTTAACTCTGTCTAGTCGTATAAACACCATCCAACTGTAAACTTGTCCAAGGATTGATGCAATAGTTGATTCTCAATTAATTTCCAGGATTATAAATTACAAGAAAATCTTTTTGCTCAAACTTATTACTTGCAGGTTGCAAAGTCAATGTTCTTAACTTGTCGAAATTTCAAAATTTTCATTAGGGGTTGGATGAAATTGTTCAAGTAAATCTGTAAATGGCTTTCAATTTTGTTCACCTTGACTGAAAACTGGAACTTTCTGAAACTATGGTGAAATTTAAAACCACAGATGTTATACTAGATAACCTAAATTTGTTATGTGAATGATGATTCTTCTTCTTCTTCTTTTTTTTTTGTCTTTTTCTTATTTTTTTTGTCCTATTTGGTATGAAGGGGATGAATTCACAATTCAAACATTGGTTCATTTGATAATAACTTGACCAATCCAAAGCAATCAGATAAGAGGCTACATGCCTATTCCTTGTTAACACCAGTATATTCACTTTGAATTGGTCCATCTCTTGATCAATGTTTATCATTAGAGTTTTGCATTTCTACTTTCTAAAAAGAAATCCTTTACTTTTATCTTTTTTTTTTTTCTTTTATTCTTTCTCTATTTTCTTCTTTTTCCATTTTCTTTACAACCATCAATATGACAAAACAGAATTCATGTAAGCAACTTCATATAAGAGCCTGAATACAAGTAAAAATTCTATTCACATAATATTCAGTCATACATTAAGAATATCTCCTATATATATGTATTGTTAAATTCATAGGTAGATATTCTCAATATACAACCAGATTTCTATGCTTTCAGAGTGTATATAAAGATTTTACTCGGAAAGAACCCCATCAACAATTATATTCTTTTTGTTTCATATAAGTCAGAGACATAACAAACAGAGTAATCATATAAACAAAAGTATTGGGATTATATTTCACATTAATAAAGCATCACCTTTTCATTCTCTTAAATTTTTATGTACATGTGGGGCACATTAACTTATTCTTTCTATCCATTTTTGGGTGCCATCACATGCTCCTTAGTTGGGCATGTAATTATTGACACACATGTCCCTAGCTAGTAGAGTTAGGGTTCTACATATTAGTGGGGTTAGTGGGTTAATAGTAGGCAAGGTTCAAATTATCAAAGTGGGTTTCACCCGTTTTTAATCTATGACATACTTTCTTTTTAATACATTTTTCATGATACAGGAGTTTTAAATATTAAATAGGAAAATCTATGATACCGGAAATATATGGTACTGGAAAAGTTTTGACCAATCAAAGCATCCCCTTGAATTTTGATTAATACTATCTCATTGGTCATCTCTTTTTATGATACCATTTGATTGACTGTGATGGATATGATAGTCTAACCCATATTAAATATAGGACCCATATTTATGAGGAGTGGCTTAGTTGGTATGATAGGTGATTCTTTCCAATAGAGATGGAGATTCGAATTCCGCTATCACCAAATCTGGGGAGGGGACTTCAAGTGTGATTTGGTACTCAAACTGCCCCTATGTAGGGGTGGTGAGTAAGAAAAATCGAAAAATTAAATCGAACTGAAAATTTTGGTTAAYCAAATTAGTCAATTTAGTTTTGGTTCGCTATTTAAAAAAAACCAAAGGTATTAATTYGGTTATGGTTAACCAATATARAAAACCGGCAATTAAYCGAACCGACCGGTATACATATATTTTTATATATTTTATGTATATTATATATTATAAATTAATAAATTTACATTATATATACAAATATATATTTATAATATATTATTTTTTATTTAAAATATAATATTATATATATATATTTTAGTTTTTTATTATATTTATATACATTTTTATAATATATTATAAATATAAAAGACTGAAAAACTGATCTAATCAACCGATTAATCGATCAACTTTATTTTGATTTCAATTACCAATTTTCCAAAAACTGATAATACTGGTTCAGTTTGAAAAATAGAATCGAACCATCAACCCCCGTAGCCATATAAGGGGGGTGTATCACCAAATACCAAAAAAGCCTATATTTTCTTCGTGACATGAACAACTACCGGACCTCCGGTATCTAACGAGCGAAGAAGAGATAAAAGGACGAAAACTTCATCAATTTTGAAGTTGAGGGTCCCCCCACCCCACGTCCTTGGCTCTTTACTTTGATTGAGGCTGCACTATTTCCTGCATCACCCTTCAACTAAATTAATTGGGATTCACCAATCAACTTCAACGATGGAAATTTCGGGATTACGTATCTTTTGTCTTCACATTCCATGGAGTTTTATTTTTGTAGCCAAACAGCTAAATCTGAAAAATAACGGATTCAGTTTTCCTTTTCCCTCAGTCCAAGCACACTGAAAGCTGCACTTTTCTTGATTGGACAAGATAAAAGGAGCTGACATCAACATCTTTGACATCTACCATTAGATTGGAATAATTTGACCCCCCAGTGTTTCCACCATTAATAAAATAATCAAGAGGTTCCAAGCCAAAGGCCACCAACGTCTGGTGCCGGGCTACAGATCCAAGATGTACTCCATCAAATCCCAATAAGTTTCTTTCATCATGGTTGCAGAAAGCTTTTCAGCCGAGCGGAATAGCTGAAAGGCTGAAGCTGAGACATGAGAGATGAGAATGGCTACTCTGGCAGCTCAACAAAGATGGCAAGCAGAGAGCCACCATTCTTTCGCCCTCTTACTTATTCTAAGCAAATTCAGTAAAGGCAACCCAAAAAGCCAAACGCCTTGTCACACCACCAACTTAACAATAATATTCTTGTTTCCACTTATTCCATTCTTGCTTTTTTTATCTTCTTCTCTGTAATTCTGTAACTCTGTTCACATCTGCACCGACCCATCTCTTCTTCTCAACCCATTTCTTCTCTGTTGCGTATCTCGGTGTTCCCCTGAGTTTCCATGGCGTCCCTTTCAGATATTGGAGTATCCGCATTCATTAACATAGTCGGTGCTTTTGCTTTCTTGCTGGCTTTTGCTCTTCTGAGGATTCAGCCTGTGAACGATAGAGTTTATTTCCCAAAATGGTATATGACTGGCGGCAGGAGAAGCCCGAGGCATGCTGGGAATGTGGTTGGCAGGTTTGTCAACCTCAATTTCAAGACTTACCTCACTTTCCTCAATTGGATGCCCGAGGCTCTGAAGATGAGCGAGTCGGAGCTTATTAACCACGCTGGCCTCGACTCTGCTGTTTTTCTTCGAATTTACCTTCTTGGGTATGCAAAATTTTCTGAGTTTCTTTTGTTTTTCCTTGAATTATATTCTTGGTTTTGGATTTCACTTTTATTGGTTCTCTCTGTTGGTATGGAGGTTTTCAGCTTTAAACATGGAAAATTGTAGTTAAATTTTGAAAACTCACACTCACTTCACTGGAAGACTTACTAGGACAGGCTGATTTTCAAGTTCATTTCCTAGAATATGCACAAGGATTTAATCATGTCGATTCTGTTGCAGAATTGGGCTATTTTATTCTTTTTTCATCTTCTTTTCCTGGGAAGTAATTATTCTAAGTGGCTCTGGTTTTCTTGACTTCAAACAAGCATAGAGAAATGTAGTCGATTTTGACTACCTTACCCGGCGTTTGGCAACATTTCGACAGAAACATTTCTGGTGCTTCCTGGAAGAGAAAAACAACTAATTTTTGCTCCTGGGAACACCAGAAACGTTCCCCTGGAACATTACCAAATGGCGCCTTACTCTTTCTGTATTTCCTACTGAAATAGATTGCTTTGACTTTAATCTGTAACGTGCAGAGAATTTTCCGTAGATGTTGCTTTTATTAGAGTAATACAGAAATGCCTGGTCTCTTCTTATTCTTTATTTCTTTCTTCTCCCCATTCGTTCCTTTGAGTTACACAGCAATTGCTGGTGCCCAAAGCCTCCATTAGTTGAATTTGTGATTTATGATTCTCAAAATTCAGTACTAAAAAATGATATGGAACWGTAAGGTGAATAAGATTTATTATTTGGTTCTACTAATAAATGTATTAGCACAGTCACACAACAGAGTCCTATCAATGTTATGTGGACATTCCTCTTTATATGATACTGAGAAGATTCAAAATGGGTTGCTAGAGAATGTTATATAGGTCTTTATAAAGGCCCACCAGTCATTAGGTTTCTACATTGTTCAGCCCATCTTGTCAGGGTTACATCAACTCATCAAGTTAAACACTGATGGGAATTCAGTCTTCAAAGCATTTATGGGTATATAAATATTGAAGTGAAACTATAATCAAACATTCAAACTCTTCCTGGTAACATACACAAGACTGTACTCAAAGTTTTACTTAGAATCTCTTACAGATGCCTTAGATGATCTCAGTAATCTTCCGGAAAGAGTTTCTTACACCAAACACCATGTGGTATATAGAAATTGAAGCAAATCACCAGGTCTTCCTATCTAGACTAGACCATGCAAAAAATAGGTAGATAGAGCGGGGGGGGGGGGACTCAATTCTTTACAGAATCCAATAAGACTTGAATCATTGGACCTATAAACTTTTAAGAAGTTCAAACATCTGAAGTGCCATGTTAGATTAAAACAGTCAAGTAAAAATCATGATGTTTGATTTTTATAGATTTTCAGCCAGAAATCTCTAGGATATTTTTCTAGGCATCAAAAACTACTTGAAAATTTTTCCAAGAATCCTTAAAACCAAGAGATTCAAGAATGACAGTCACATAGCCAATAACATTATAACACATAGGTACTATTTTTAACAAAACGAACCGTTTTCAGTAATTATCATATTTACTACTTATAGAAAATCATGACTTACTATTTTTAGTAATTATTATGTATAGTAAAATCAGATYTAGCAATAGGAACCAGGAGAGTATAGAGTGAGATTAAGAGTTGATCAAACTAACARGATTATTGATAGAAATCCCAAAATGCTAAACAATAAATACAAGCTGAATGAAAGATAAAAAGARCAATAAGTAAGAACTATAGAAGAAGAAAAATAGATGATTAAGATATTTAATTTATGGATCTGAAGTTGACTAATAAATCTGAAGACACCATCATCAACATCCTTTGTTTTTTGGTAAACATCATTAACATCTTTATGAGGTAATAAATTGGATCTGCATCCTACATTATATCTATTGTTTCTTTTTTCTTTATGAATTAATGAAACCCTTGGAGCTGATTACCAATCCCAAAAAAAAAAAAA